GACACGGCGACCACTCGCCACACTCCTCACTTCGTGACCCCTCCGAGTTTCCCGCCACGGCCGTTTTTGCTGCCTCCGCAGCCTGCTGCTGTGGACTGTGGAGCTGAGACTGGGGCTGCGGGTGGTGAGTCTGGGGGTGCTCGCTCTCCTCGTCTGGCTACCCCCCCCCCGGGTTCCCACCTCTGCCGTCTTCGCCGCCTCTGCAGCCTACTGCTGTGGACAATGAAGCAAAGACTGAGGGTGCTGGGACTGAGGGTGCTGAGCCTGAGGGTGCTGGGTCTGAGGGTACTGAGACTTTGGGTGCTGACTCTGGGGGTGCTGAGACTTTGGGTGCTGACTCTGGGGGTGCTGCGAGTCCTTCTGGAGGTCCTGGAGCTGGAGGTACAGGAGCTACTAGGCCTGGAGGTCCTACTGGAGGTACTAGAGGTACTACTGATGCTGAAGGTACTGGAGTTACTGCTGGTGCTGGAGGTGCTGGAGCTGGAGGTACTAGAGGTGCTTCTGGTGCTGGAGGTGCTAGAGCTACCACTACTGGAGGTACTGGAGCTGGACACCCACCGCAGCCTGCTCTACTTGAGATGCTCTCGCCGCAGGCGATTCGTGCGTAGGTCGTTCTGCGAGGCAGTCCTGGTGGTGGAGGGTAAGGTCCTGCTGGTGCTGGAGCTACTAGTCCAGGAGGTGCTGCTGGTGCTGGAGGTGCTGGAGGTACTACTAGAGGTACTAGAGGTGTTGCTGGTGTAGGAGGTACTGGAGCTGCTGGTGCTGGGGGTACTGGAGCTGCTGCCGGTGCTGGAGGTACTGGAGCTGGTGGCACTGGAGGTGCTGGTGCTCCTGGTCTTGGAGTTGCGGGAGCTGCTGACCCTGGAGGTGCTGGTACTGCTGGTGCTGGAGGCGTTGGAGCTGGAGGTACTGGAGGTGCTGGAACTATTGGTCCCGGAAGTGCTCGTACTGGAGGTGCTAAAGCTGCCGAAGCAGGTGGTACTGCTGATGCTGGAGGTGCAGGAGGTGCTACTGGAGCTGCTGGCACAGGAGGTACTGGATGTACTACTGATGCTGGAGGCGCTGGAGCTAGAGCTGGAGGCACAGGAGGTGCTGGAGGTACTACTGGTGCTCGAGGTGCTGGCGCTGTCGGAGCTCGTGGTGCTGGAGGTGCTGGTGCTACTGGTGCTAGAGGTGTTGCTGGGGGTACTGGAGGAGCTGCTCGTGCTGGAGGTACGGGAGCTACTGGTGCTCTTCGCCACCTTCTCAGTCTTCCGCCAGGTGCTACTCACTTCCCTGTGGCAGGTACTACTCCTCCGTTGCTATGTCTGCCAGCGGACCAGTCACAGCCACCGCTGCTACCACACTCCCCACTGCCTGCTCCTGCTCCTTACACTGCAGTGTTAGAGTCCCTAACTGAGCGTCGAGAGCCTAAAACTCGTGCTTCCACCCCTGAGCATCGAGAGCCTAAGTCTAGCTTTGACCTTGAGCCTGAGCCTAGAGCTGCTGTCCGTGCTCGTGTTCCTCGTGTTCGTCGTCCGCATGCTCCGGCTATCCCCGGCACTCACGATATGACACTCCGTCCTTCCTCTGTTCCTCAGCGTGTTGTATTACCGTTACCTCCTGCGTCCTCTCTGCCTGACGTTGCTGACCCTCCGTCTGACCTTGCTTGTGCGTCCAGTCCGACTGTTACTCGCCTTCTTGCTACGGTTGTGACGGACCCTACGTTCTCGTCTCCTGCTGCGTCTGCCCTAGTAGCTGGGCTTGTTGACTTTGCTGCTGTGTACCGCCTAGACTACCTTGCGAGTCTTGTCTGTGACCCTCTCCTTGCCTGTCCTTCGTCCGTCAGGGGTGAGACTGCTCTTGGTTGTATTGCCCTTGGCTGTGACGTTCTTGAGGACAGACAGGAGGAGCTGGATTGCCTTGCTGCCGCTTCACCCCATCACGCGACCATGCTGCTTGCCCCTGAGGGAGACCCAGATGCACTTGACATCTCCACCCCGAGCTCCTACAGGGAGGCGATTTCGGGTGAGTACTCCTCTCAATGGCAGACAGCCATGGACGCAGAGATGGCTTCCTGGAAGTCCACAGGCACCTACGCCGACGAGGTTCCCCCACCTGGGGCGAACATCGTCAGTGACATGTGGATTTTCAGGGTGAAGCGGCCGCCGGGTTCTCCGCCTGCCTTCAAGGCACGTTACGTTGCTCGAGGCTTCAGTCAGCGTGAGGGGGTCAACTTCTTTCAGACCTTCTCCCCCACCCCGAAGATGACCACTCTTTGGGTGTTGCTACACGTTGCAGCTCAGCGTGACTACGAACTGCACTCCCTCAACTTCTCGACAACTTTCTTGCAGGGTAGCCTTCACGATGCCATCTGGTTGCGCCGTCCACAGGGCTTCACTGGGTCATTTCGTGAGGGTACCCAGTGGAGCCTACGGCGACTAGTGTACAGCCTACGTCAGGCGCCCCGTAAGTGGCACAACACACTGAGGACGACACTTGCGGCTCTTGGGTTTGCTCCTTCGACTACTGACCCGTCGTTGTTTCTACGCGCCGACACTACTCTGCTGCCGTTCTACATCCTCGTGTACGTCGACGACTTGGTTATTGGTTTTTGCTACTGCTGGCACTGAGGCACTGGCCCTAGTGAAGGCAGAGCTGCAGGAGAGACACACCTGCACTGACCTGGGTGAGCTACGGAGCTATCTTGGCTTGCAGATCACCCGGGACAGACCACGGCGCACCATCACCTTCACTCAGTCACTCATGGTGCACCAGGTCCTTCAGCGCTTCCGCTTCACTTGGTCCTCGCCACAGCCCACTCCTCTGTCTACCGGCCACTCGCTCTCAACTCCATCTTCGAAAGAGTTCGTAGAGCCGAATGGTCCATACCCAAAGCTTGTGGGTTCCCTTATGTACCTGATGACGTGCACACGACCTGACCTCGCGTACCCTCTTAGCCTCCTGGCTCGCTACGTGGCACCTGGTCGACACCAAAAGGTGCACTTTGATGCTGCGAAGAGGGTACTGCGTTACTTTTGCAGCACATCGGGCATGGGGCTCGTTCTTGGAGGACGGGGTTCGGTGGTCCTCACAGGACACTATGACGCTTCTTGGGCCGACGACCAGACGACTCAGCGGTCGTCACAAGGTTACACCTTCAGTCTTGGCTCTGGTTCTGTCTCATGGAGATCCACTCGTTCTTCTTTTGTGCTTGGTTCCCACTGCGAGGCCGAGATCTACGCTGGGGCCATGGCTGCACAGGAGCTACGCTGGCTGACCTACCTGCTGACCGACTTGGGGGAGCGGCCTCGTTCTCCTCCAATGCTTGCCTTGTGTCGCGAGCAGAGACTGGAGCACAGAACGAAGCACATTGCTCTTCGCTACTTCCTTGCGCGTGAGCTGCAGCAGCGTGGTCAGCTGCGCCTTGCTTACATGGCCTCTCGGGCCAACACTGCTGATGTCTTCACCAAGGCCCTTGGGGCTGGTGATCATCACCGTTTTTGCACTGCTTTTGGGCTTGTGCCCACTCTGCCTCACCTCTTGGTTGCTTGCCTTGCTCTTGTTGTACACTGCTATATATCTTTATACCTGCATGTTTTCTCTTGCTAGGTTGTGATCAGTGTACTGCCTTGCTATTATATACCTTTGCATGTGAACTGGCCTTACGGCCACTTGCTTGTGCTCAGAATGCGTGGTGACTTTGTGATCCACCCTGATCTGTGTTCTCTTCTGCAGACTGGTCTTGTGACCGCTTGTTGTGTTTGCTGTCCTCTACTTTGCCTATGGGGGTGTGTCAGATTACAATTGTATCTCTAGGCTACAGTAGGGTCACTCCTTAGTGAGTACAACACTTTAGGGTTAGGTTTCCTCTACTTGTACTCACCTCTTGCATAGTTCAATCATCATTCCTAGTTCTATTCTTGACAGAATGGGCAGGCCTAAACGTAGCTCCGCTGCTATGAACCAGTCTGGTGCGTCAAGCTGTGAGCGCGGTGTGGAGGGCACAGCAGTAAGCCAAGCGCCGGCTGGTGGGTCCTGAAGGGAGGTCAAACGGACCAACTGGTGGCGCTGGTTTGTCGCTGCCAGTAGCTGTTCCGCTGCTCGTGCTGAGATACGCTGTGCTAGAGCTGAGAAAAGGCGATTGGGGTAGCGCGCAAAGAAGGCAGACCACGGTGGAACAAGGTGCCGCAAATCTGCCGGAAGGGAAGCGAGAGCGTGGGGTGCCTGCGAGTCTAGGTGTTCTAGGCTGTCGGATGCAATGAATGGGCGTAGGAAATTGTCTCTGCGACCTTGCAGTTCGATGCAAGCACCGGTATGGCTTGTGCCCAGCTGCAAATGTAACTAAGAGGCGCATGTTGTTTTGCAATCCGCAAACCGAAACCTCCCATGCGGATTGGAAGGAATGCCTGCTGCCGTGCGAGCTGCCCTTCTGCGGTATCTAGGTCCCAGCATTCAGGGGCGGTTTCTCGCATTTGTGTCTTCTTAAGGTACATTCTTGCAGGGACACTTGTGTCTCAATCACTTTGTGACATCTAAAAACAGCATATACCGTGCACTGTCACAAAAGCGGATCGCGCTTATGCGAGTCCCACCATATTTTAAATTGGTTGGCGTGAATTGCGCTTGTGTCGCGGACGAGTTACACGAGGCCCCGTCACATCCCGAAAATCGCACGCGTGTCGAAATGTCACACTGTACAGCATGCACCTGGACGCCCGAACTAGGCACGTTTCCGCGCGGGGAAGGAAACCTCTCTGCCCGGGCTGACATATGACTGGTCCTTCAGCACACACGGTCACATCCCTGCCCGAATGTTTGCCCATCGTTCCAACCACACTGACAGCACTCTCCCGCTCCAATCTGTTCTTCTTCTCCCACCCCGTGCTTCCTCTTTCTTGTTGGGAAGTCTAGCAAGGGTCTTCTTCCACGCTGTAGCCATGGCCCGTAAGCGCCAGAGCGTAGCTAGTTCTGTTGACTTGTGCCCGCGGGATGTCGACGAGATCCTGTACATCGCTTGGATGAACAAGCAAATCGCGGCCGGCCGCAAGCCCGCCGGCCCTTTACCCGAAGGAGCGCCTGGTGTGGGGGACACCTCGTTCGAAGCCCCGCGCGATGTCCCTACCCTCGGACGCCGTCATGCCGACCGGGTTGCCTCATCCCGCGTCAACGACGATGCTGCCTTCGATGACGATGATGACGCCGCGGACTACGATTACAACGAGTGCAACGAGGCCTGCGAAGACGACGCGGACTCTGGTGAGGAGCAGGACAAGGGCATGTCCCCCTCCGAGGATGAAGTTGACGCCGACGAGGACGCCGATGCCGACGAAGACGCTCCCGAAGAGGCCCAGCCTGCGTCTCCGGCTCCTCGTCGCGGCCGTGCGTCTGCCGCTGCGGGAACCAAGACTGCTGCTAAGGGCGGGGAACCTCCGCGTGCCGCTGCCAAGACCCGTAACTTGCATCCTGTTAAGCGGAGCATGTGGTCCCCCCGCAAGAACACAATCTTCGTGGCTGAGCGCTGGTTCATGAAGGACGAGCTCGGGCCCCTCCTCAGGAAGCAGGGCTCTCAGTACTGGGCCCGCCTCGCGCGTCACCTGGAGAAAGAGAATCCCGGTTGGGTGCGCGGGGTAAACGCGCTTCAGAAGCAGTGGCGCAATCTTGTGAACATGTACAAGCAGATCAAGAAGGGGGAAAAGGCGAGCGGCAAGGGAGCCGTATGCAAGCCCCCCTGGTACCCGTACATGGCGCTTTTCAAGAACAACAAGGCGGTGGGCAACCCTCACGCCGTCGACGGTGGCGGTGCGGCACACGTCAACGTGCCGTACGGGTACGAGGTCCCGTCCACTTCGGCGCCCTACAACTCTACGCCGACATTAACTGGTATGTATGAGTTGCGTCAACTGTCAGAACATTATACTGTAGCTTATACATTTGTGTAGGCTGTAGTGGGGTAGCCCATAAGGGAACAACCCAATTAGGGTTAGTACTTGTACCCAACTGTTTCATAGTTCATTCATCCATTCTCACTTCTCGTCATGGTATCGAGCAGGTTCCCGAGTGGGAATACTGCCTAGGGCCCACCACGAACTTTTTTTTTCCTTCCCTGCCCGGAGCGCGCTTCGCTCCTAACCCGAGTAGCGCCTCAAGCCGCCCTTATTGGCCCCCGTTGGCCGCCCTTACGGCGCCTCGCGCCGCCTTCTACGGCCCCTTACGGCCCCGTCTGGCCCCTTACGACCCGTCGCGGCCCCGCTTAGGCCCCTTACGGCCCCGTCGCGGCCCCGCTTAGGCCCCTTACGGCCCCGTCGCGGCCCCGCTTAGGCCCCTTACGGCCCCGTCGCGGCCCCGCTTAGGCCCCTTACGGCCCCGTAGCGGCCCCGCTTAGGCCCCTTACGGCCTCGTCACGGCCCCGCTTAGGCCCCTCCGCGGCCCCGTCGTGCCCCTCATGGCCGCGCCTAGGCCCCTTACGGCCCCTCCGCGGCCCCGCTTAGGCCCCGTCTGGCCTCTTACGGCCCCTCTACGGCCTCGCCTAAGCCCCTTCCGGCCCCTTCGCGGCCCAGCCTAGGCCCCTTCGCGGCCCCGTCTGGCCCCTTACGGCCCCTTTGCGGCCTCGCCTAGGCCCCTCCGCGGCCCTGTCTGGCCCCTTATGGCCCCTCCGCGGCCCTGCCTAGGCCCCTCAACGGCCCTGCCTGGCCCCCTTTACGGCCCCGCTACGGCCCCTTTGCGGCCCCGTCGCCCACTGCGGCCCCGTCGCCACCTGCGGCCCCGCCGACACCTGCGGCCCCGCCGCCACCTGCGGCCCCGCCGCCACCTACGGCCCCGTCGCCACCTGCGGCCCCGCCGCCACCTGCGGCCTCGCCGCCACCTGCGGCCCCGCCGCCCAGCGCCCGCAGCGCCGAGCAGCCGAACCGCCGGCCAGCTGAGCCGCCCAACCGCCCGACCGCCGAGCCGCCCAGCAACCGAGCCGTCCGACCGCCGAGCCGCCCAGCAACCGAGCCGCCCAGCAGCCGAGCAGCTCAGCAGCCGAGCTGCCCAGCAGCCGAGCCGCCCGACAGCCGAGCCGCTCAGCACCGTGCAGCCGAGCGCCCAGCAGCCGAGCCGCCCAGCAGCCGAGCCGCCCAGCAGCCAAGCCGCCCGACAGCCGAGTCGCCCAGCACCGTGCAGCCAAGCCGCTCGACCGCCGAGCCGCCAAGCAGCCCGATCACCCCACCTGCCTGGTAAGAGCATAGTCTCTGCCACTGCACTGCCCTGCCTCACTGTACTCACTGCCTGCCTACTGCTGCTATGGCCTCCCCTAGCGTTCTCACCTTTGACCCTGAGGGTCGGGCAGTGGACTTTGAGGTCTGGGTAGATGATCTGCAGCTTTTCCTGCAGTGCAATAGGGCAGACGGCCTCTCCCTATTTGACCTCACTTCTGGTGCCTCCCCTGCCCCTGCTGCTGATGCTGACGCCACTGTTCGCTCACAATGGGCCACACGTGATGCTGCTGCTCGCCTTGCTGTGCGCCGCCACTTACCGACCACTGAGCGTGCACACTTTAGCCAGTACAAGAGTGCTCAGACCTTGTACGACGCTGTAGTTGCACGCTACTCTTCCCCTGCCACTGCTGCACTGAGCCGCCTCATGCTACCGTACCTCTTCCCTGACCTTGCTGCCTTTCCCACAGTCGCTGACCTCATTACGCACCTCCGCACTAGTGACACTCGCTACCGCGCTGCGCTTCCTGCTGATTTCTGCGCCAAGAACCCCCCCCCCATGTACATCACCCTCTACTACATAGTCACCCGGCTCCCTGACTCTCTTCGGGTAGTCAGGGACCACTTCCTCTCTGTTTGCCCCGCCACTCTCACCGTTGACCTCCTCGAGAAGGCCCTCCTAGCGATAGAGAAGAGGATAGTCGCTGTAGGAGCCTCTCGTGGTGACCCTCGCACCCCCGTCTTTGAGAGGTGTTCTCCCTCCCCCCTCTTGCCCTCTGTTGCCTCTGCTGCTACGGCCGACCTCGTTGGTTTCGAGTCGGTCGGCGCTGCGTCTGCACCGAGCGGGAGACACCGCACCAGGAAGGGCAAGGGGGGCAAGGGCACTGGAGGGGCTGGAGGGGGTGGTGGAGGTGGTGGTGGAGGCGGTGGAGGGAGTGGGGGTGGTGGTGGGAGTGGTGCCGGGGGTGGCGGCGGCGGCGGCAGCAGTGGAGGCGGCGGAGGCGGTGGAGGTGGCGGAGGGAGCGGAGGCGGCGGAGGTAGTGGAGGAGGCGGGGGTGGAGGAGGCGGCGTAGGCGGCGGAGGCGGCGGCGGCGGCAGAGGCGGCGGTGGTGGAGCGAGTCGCGACTCTGCGCAGAGGAGTGGCGCCGGTTGTGGTCAGCGCCAGCAGCAGCAGCGGAGTGGTGTGACCCTGTCCCCTCAGCAGCTTCGTGAGTGGTACACTGCGCGCCAGCGCGGTGGGGGTTTTGGTCCCTGCTCTTACGTCCTCCATACCGGCGACCGCGCTGGTGAGCAGTGCGGAGGCCCGCAATCCACCCAGCGCTGCTTTGGTCGCCGACGGACGCATGGTGTCGCCAGTTCCCTGAGGCGTCAGAGATCCCTCGCTGGGGAGATCTGGCTAAGGCCGGGGTTGCCATCTTTGATCTTGACTTTGATGATATCCTTGCTGCCATGTATGCTGTTGATACTAGTGTTGCTAGTGACGGTTACCTGTGTGTACCGCCTGACCCGGGCATTGAGGCTGCTGCTCTAGGTGCTGGTGAGGCTGCTGCTCTAGGTACTAGTGCGTCTTCTGCCCCGGGTGCCAGTGCGTCTGCCGCCCCAAGTGCTGGTGAGTCTGCTCTCTCAGGTACTACATCGGCTCAGGCCTTCCACACCTTCACCCTGGACTCGGGTGCGTCCCGCTCCTTCTTTCGAGACCGCACCACTCTTATGCCGCTTAGTCGGCCGGTTGCAGTCTCCCTGGCAGACCCCTCTGGGGGTCCTAGCTTCTCCACTGTCCTTCCGTGCCCTGCAGCCCCCTCTGGCACCCTGTCTAGTCTCTACCTCCCCTCGTTCTCTACGAACTTGGTGAGTGGAGCGGACCTACAGGATCGAGGGGTTGACCAGTTCACTCCTGCGAGTCAGCAAATGACCCACTGCACGTGTGCTCGGACAGGCCAACACTTGGCCACGTTCACCCGTCGGCCAGGGTCGAGCCTGTACACCCTTACTGCTGAGTCTCCGTGTAGGGGCGGCGCGCTGCAGACAGAGGCTCCGCTGCAGACTCTACACATGGACGTGTGGGGCCCACCCCGCGTCAGTGGGCAGGGGCGAGAGCGGTACTTTCTGCTGGTCGTCCACGACTACTCGCGTTACACCACAGTCTTCCCCTTGCACAGCAAGGGTGACGTCACTGAGGTGTTGATCGACTGGATCCGCGCAGCTCGTCTCCAGCTCAGAGAGAGTTTCGGCTCGGACTTTCCTGTTCTGCGTCTGCACTCGGACAGAGGCGGGGAGTTTTCCTCTGCCCGTCTGGGAGCCTTCTGTCGTGCACAGGGCATCCCCCAGACCTTCACGCTTTCGGCCTCTCCACAGCAAAATGGGATTGCTGAGCGCCGCATTGGCATGGTCATGGACGTCGCTCGTACGTCCATGATGCATGCGGCTGCCCCCCATTTTCTGTGGCCGTTTGCGCTTTAGTACGCCACGCATCAGCTCAACCTTCAGCCCCGGGTCTCCTTGCCAAAGACCTCCCCGGCCTTGTGGTGGACAGGGAAGGTTGGCAATGCGTCTGCGTTTCGGGTCTGGGGATCTCGGGCATATGTCCACGACTTGTCTGCGGACAAGCTGTCCCCCCGTGCTGTTCCCTGCGTCTTCCTTGGCTTCCCCCCTGACGCGCCTGGGTGGCAGTTTTACCACCCCACCTCGCGCCGTGTTCTGTCCTCCCAGGACGTCACCTTTGACGAGTCGGTGCCTTACTACCGTCTCTTCCCCTACCGCACTGCGCCCCCCCCCCCCCCGCCGCCACTCTTCCTTGCGCCAGGTCCTCCCCAGGTAGACCCCCTCCCCCCTCAGGGTCCTGCCCCGTCAGGTGTGTCCCAGGTAGACGCTGTTGAGCCTGTCGAGGTAGTTGTTGAATCTGGTGCTGCTAGAGGTGCTGAGCCTGCGGGTGCCGGGTCTGGGGGTGCTAGGTTTGCGGGTGCTGAGACTGGGGGTGCTGAGCCTGGGGGTGCTGAGTCTGGGGGCGCTGAGCCTGGGGGTGCTGAGCCTGGGGGTGCGAGGCCTGGGGGTGCTGGGTCTGCTCGTGTGGCCGCTGGCGGTGCTTCGTCGAGGCGGGAGCCGCTCTCTCCACAGGAGCTACGCGAGTGGTTCGCCCGCCGCTGGAGACGTGCTGCTGAGTCTGGAGGTGCTGCTGGAGCTACTGGAGTTGGTCCTACTGGAGCTACTGTCGGTGCTGGTGCTACTGGAGGTGGAGCTGCTGGGGGTGTTGGCGCTTGTGTTTCTAGTGGTGCTGGTTCGTCTGATGGTGCTGCTGAGGCTGCTGGTGCTGACGGTCCTACTGGAGCTGGCGGTGCTGCTGGCGCTGGTGCTTCTGAGGGTGTTGGAGTTGGCGCTGTTGGAGCTGGAGGTGCTGCTGGCGCTGGTGCTGCCACTGGGGGTACTGGTGCCGTCCTTGCTGGTTCTAGAGGCGTTGAGCGGCCGAGGCCGTACTTCGTTCCGCTCCTGGAGCAGGTTCTTGGTCTCCCGCCCTCTCCTGGACGTGCTCCTCCCTTAGAGTGTTCACAGCCAGTCCAGTCGTAGTCACAGTTACAGCCTGCCTCCCCGTTACCTCTTCCTTCTCCCTACACTGGTCCTACTGGAGGTCTTGCTGAGCGTCGTGAGCCTGCGTGTCGTCCTGCATCGCCTGTTCGTGCTGCTCGCACTAGTCGTCGTGCTACGCGTCCGCGTCCTCCTGCGGTCCCCGGCACACACCAGATGACACTGCGTCCTTCCACTGCTCCTCTGCGTGTCCCGTTGCCATCTCCTCCAGAGTCCTCTCTTCCTTCTCTTGCTGACCCGGAGTCTGACTCTTTTCGTGCTACTAGTCCTTCGATCACGCGCCTTCTTGCTACTGTTGTCACTGACCCTTTCTTTGAGTCCACTGCTGCGTCTGCCCTAGTTGCTGAGCTTGTCGACTTTGCTGCTCGTTGTCGTCTACACTACGCTGCTAGTCTCGTTGCTGAGTCTGAGTCTATCTGTCCTCCGTCCGTCGGGGGTGAGTGTGCTCATAGCACGGACGTCCTTGAGGACAGGCAGGAGGAGTTCTAGTGCTTTGCTGCTGCTTTACCCCATCTCGTGTCCACGCTGATTGCCCCTGAGGGAGACCCGAATGCACCACACATCCCGACTCCTCGATCGTACGCTGAGGCGATCGAGGGTCCCTACTCCTCTCAGTGGCAGTCAGCCATGGACGCAGAGATGGCTTCCTGGAAGTCCACAGGCACCTAGGTCGACGAGGTTCCCCCACCTGGGGCGAGCATCGTCAGTGGCATGTGGATTTTCAGGGTGAAGCGGCCGCCGGGTTCTCCGCCTGTCTTCAAGGCGCGTTACGTGGCTCGAGGCTTCAATCAGCGGCAGGGAGTTGACTACTTTCAGACCTTCTCTCCCACCCCGAAGATGACCACTCTTCGGGTGCTGCTGCACATAGCCGCTCAGCGCGACTACGAGCTTCACTCTCTTGACTTCAGCACAGCTTTCCTGCAGGGCAGCCTGCACGAGGAGATCTGGCTGCGCCGCCCTCCTGGCTTCACTGGGTCGTTTCCTCCTAGTACCCAGTGGAGCCTCCGGCGGCCAGTCTACGGTCTCCGCCAGGCACCCCGTGAGTGGCACGACACACCGAGGACTACACTTGCGGCTCTTGGGTTTGCTCCTTCTACAGCCAACCCGTCGCTGTTTCTGCGCACCGACACTTCTTTGCCGCCGTTCTACATCCTCGTGTACGTCGACGACTTGGTCTTTGCCACTGCTAACACTGCTGGACTCGCCCACGTGAAGTCCGAGCTGCAGAAGAGACACACATGCACAGACCTGAGTGAATTGCACAGCTACCTTGGCTTGCAGATCACCCGGGACAGAGCATAGCGCACCATTATTCTGACTCAGTCACACATGGTGCAGCAGGTCCTTCAGCGCTTCGGCTTCACGTACTCCTCGCCTCAGGCCACTCCTCTGTCTACTTGCCACTCGCTCTCAGCTCTGCCTTCGGATGATTCTGTAAAGTCGAGTGGCCCGTACCCCGAGCTTGTTGGCTGCCTTATGTACCTGATGACCTGCACACGACCTGACCTTGCATACCCTCTTAGCATCTTGGCACGCTATGTTGCTCCTGGGAGACACAGACTAGAGCACATGGCTGCAGCGAAGAGGGTGTTGCGCTACGTGTGCAGTACGTCGGGCATGGGGCTAGTGCTTGGAGGGCGACGTCAAGTAGTCCTCACAGGTCACGCTGACGCTTCTTGGGCTGACGACCAGGCTCTGCAGTGGTCGTCACAGGGTTACACCTTCAGCCTTGGCTCCGGCTCTGTTTCGTGGCGGTCTACCCGCTCGTCTTCTGTTCTCGGCTCGAGCTGTGAGGCTGAGATCTACGCAGGGGCCATGGCTACACAGGAGCTACGCTGGCTCACCTACCTGCTGACTGACCTAGGAGAGCCGCCTCGTTCTCCTCCAGTTCTGTACGTAGACAACAAGGCCATGCTGGCCTTGTGTCGGGAGCATAGACTGGAGCATAGAACGAAGCACATTGCTCTACGCTACTTCCTGGTTCGTGAGCTGCTGCAGCGTGTTATGCCTCACCTACGTGGCCTCTGAGGCCAACACTGCTGATATCTTCACCAAGGCCCTTCCGCCTTGTGATCATTAGTGCTTCTGTACTTTGCTAGGTCTTGTGCCTACCTGGCTTCACTTGCTCACTTCTTGATCTTGTTTGTACTGTCCTCTTTCTATACATGCTGTTGTTTGTTTTCCTTTATATATACGATCTTGCATGTGAACTGGCCTTGTGGCCTTACTCTTCTGCTCGGACTGTGTGGTGACGTTGTGATCCACCCTGAGCTTGCTTTGCTTTGCTTGACTGGTCTTGTGACCGCTTGTTCTCCCCCACTTTGCCTATCGGGGTGTGTTAGAACATTATAGCTTATACATTTGTGTAGGCTGTAGTGGGGTAGCCCATAAGGGGTACAACCCAATTAGGGCTAGTACTTGTACCCAACTATTTCATAGTTCATTCATCCATTCTCATTTCTCGTCATCAACGGTGGGACTCGCGGGTTTGTTGAATGACATGAGGAGTGACAACATTTTACGCACACATTGCAACATTTAAATGTTAAGGGTACATAACACCTCGTATAATGTTCGTGTGCATCCACTGTGTGTGCAGCTCCGCCGCCACAGGGAACTCCTACATCAAAGCGCCCACGTGTGGCTGAGACGGCGACGATGGCCGCTGCAAAGCTGGTGTGCGAGACGATCAAAGGCTGCCACTCAGAGGCCATGAGCAGGCTCGAAGGCCTCGTCCGCGCGTGGATGGAGCAGGATGCGCGTATTGCTCGGGAACGCGTGCAGCAGCCCGCCCCCTCCCCGCATGTCCGCGACGACAACCCTGCCCACGCGGACAACGTGACCGACCTGCATGCCGCCGAAGGCGGTGACGACGGCTGGCTTCGTTGCGGCCAGGCGGGCGAAGACCCCTCTAACCCAGATGCGGATGAGGAGGTGTGGGTCCGCAGCGCCGCCGAGTGAGGTAAGACGACTCCAGAGCCTCGCCGAGCCGCTTGCGCCTTTAACGAAAATTCTCTTGCGTGCATGGGTCACATGGCTCCCACATGAACTCTGCTACCGCGCCACAAGTCCACCATGGGTCCCGGTTTTGGGGTAAGTTTGCCCACGATGCATTGATGCGCCTTACTGCGCCCATCATTTCGCACATGTTGTGCAGGATGACGCCACAAGACGCCCCTGCAAGAATGCGCCAGAGCTTGCAGTCACTGCGGCCCGCGAATAGACGCCACCGGCCTTTGAAGGCGCCGATGCAGCGCTCTACTGCCATGCGCGTTGCGCTTTGGCAATAGTTAAAGCACTGCTCCCAGTCCTCCATTAGGCCTTCACGAGGCGCATGTAGGGGGGTCAGGCAGAAGTCCCTGAGTGGGTAGGCAGCATCTCCCACTATTTGGTATGGCGCTATGTCGCCGTTGTGCAACCTTTCGTGTAACGCGCTGTTCATGAACACTCTCTGATTGTGCGCACTGCCCGGGTATCCGATCAAATAGTCCCATATGATGCCTCGCGCGTCGCATGTGATGTGCAACTGGACAGCGTAACAGGACTTCCGCGTGTAGTACTCTTGCCTGTGCCCCTCCATCCCCTTCATGGGTATGTGTGTGCCGTCTATAGCCCCCACTACCGCAGGTACCCCCTTGATGGCGCGGAACTCTGCGGCCATCTCGTCGAGGTCGTCGCGGGTCGAGAAGTGGACCCACTGCTGCTTGAGGACGGACGGGAAATGCATGAGGAGCACGTCAACAAGCATGTGGCAGAGGGTCTTGGACAGCCCGAACACGGAGGACAAGTCTACGAAAGACATGCCACTTGCGAGGTATTTGATAGGTACAAGGCATGCCACTTCATGACTGATTAGGTACCTGTCCACGTACGGTTGCATGTAGTGCGTCATCCCGGCGACAATGTATTCGAGAATGCCACGGTTTATACGAAACATATCTCTGAGCTGATATTCCCCCATGTCGTCCAAGTCCTCTAGCAACAACTGGTATCTCCGCCGGCGTAGCCCAGCCCTTCGTTTCCGCTGTGCAGTACGGTTGGAGGCGCGAGAGCTGGATGACAATGACACCTCGTCATTGAAGACGTTCGCCTCCAGCAAGCTACCGACCGACTTGGCGATGGCGTCCATGAATATGCTGTAGTAGAACGTAACCCATGCGACAAGTAGGCGCATGAGGAATGGCACCTCGCGGGGCGATGCCATGGTTGCTAGACAGTGGTGCAGTTTAGCTACGTGATGCTTGCGGTTTTGTACTTAGAGCCGTGGTTGTATACATGCTGTTGTGTGTGGGGTGGCCCAAATTGCAACTTTCATTTCTGTGGCAAGCCCACCGCGATACTCGAGGTGGTGCGCTATGTTTAGCCCCCCTGCCCGGCGGGAAAACTGGGTGGACACAATCCTATTGGTCGCAACCAATAGTATGTTAAAATGAGGAATGAATGGTTCCATTGATGTTGGTTGGGGTACATATAACAAACCCTAACTTCTGTACCCCCTAAGACAAACCTCACTACAGGCTACAACATTTGACACACCCCCATAGCCTAAGTGAGGGGTGTCTAGCAAAATCAAAAAGAGTACGGTCACAAGACCAGTCCAAAAGAAAACAAAGCTCAGGGTGGATCACAACGTCACCACACACTCTGAGCACAAGCAACAGTGGCCACAAGGCCAGTCCAAGAGATCACAAGTATATATAGCAAGTGTACAGACGAAGCAGGCAATAAACTCAAGTCTACACATGACTAGAACCTGCGTCAACAAGGCCTAACTGCACACAACACCTCTGGTGGTCACAAGGCGGAAGCGCCTTGGTGAAGATGTCTGCAGTGTTGGCCTCGGACTCCACGAACTCGAAGCGAGCCTGTCCACGTCTCTGCAACTCTCGCAGAAGAAAGTACCTGGCGTGAATGTGCTTCACTCTGCTCTCCAGTCGCGGCTCACGACAGAGGAGGATCGACGCCTTGTTGTCAGTAAACAAGGTCGGTGCAGAGCTCGGCCGCTCACCAAGGTCGGCGAGCAAGAAGGTCAACCACCGCAACTCCTGTGCCGCCATGGCACCAGCGTAAATCTCAGCCTCAGCTGTAGAGGTCGAGACAGAAGAGGAGCGCGTGGAACGCCAGGAAACAGCTCCAGAACCCAGACTGAAACAGTACCCCTGAGTAGACCTGTGAGTCTCAGCGTCGTCAGCGTAAGAGGAGTCACAGTGACCAGTGAGTACGACAGACTGCTGCCCTCCAAGAACTAGCCCCACGCCTGATGTAGTCGCTAGGTACTTCGCCACCCTCACAGCTGCCGTCCAGTGAACAGGACGGTGTCTCCCTGGCGCAACAAAGCGCGCAAGGATGCTGAGAGGGAAGGCGAGGTCCGGGCGAGTACAAGTCATCAGGTACATGAGGCAACCCACAAGCTCTGCGTAGGGACCACTAGGCTCAAACGGCTCGTCAGGAAAGGGACCAGTGAGTCTGTGGTCAACAGCGAGAGGTGTGCGCTGTACGGTGGAGTGCTGAAGCCCGAACCGCTGAAGGACCTGCTGCACCATGTGTGACTGTGAGAGTGTAATGGTGCGAGCGGCTCTGTCCCTGGTGATCTGCAGGCCAAGGTAGTGGCGCAGCTCACCAAGATCAGTGCACGTGTGTCTCTTCTGCAGTTCGGACTTCACGTCTGCCAAAGCAACCCTGTCCGGAGTGGCGAAAACGAGGTCGTCGACGTAGACCAGGACAAAGAACGGTGTGGAGCCACGACGAACGAACAGCGACGGGTCGGCAGAAGACGGCTGGAACCCAAGGTCAGAGAGGGTAGAACGCAGAGTGTCGTGCCACTCACGAGGGGCCTGGCGAAGACCGTAAACAGGTCGCCTCAGCCTCCAGTGGGTCCCAGGAGGGAAAGTGCCAGTGAAGGCCGAGGGACGACGTAACCAGACCTCCTCGTGTAGGCTGCCCTGAAGGAAAGCAGTGGAGAAGTCGAGAGAGTGTAACTCGTAGTCTCTCTGTGCTGCTACGTGTAGTAACACCCGAAGAGTGGTCATCTTCGGGGTAGGTGCGAAGGTCTGAAAGAAGTCAACTCCCTCGCGCTGACTGAAACCTCTAGCCACGTAGCGCGCCTTGAAGACCGGGGGAGATCCCGGTGGCCGCTTCACCCTGTAGATCCACATGCCGTCGACTACGTTCGCCCCAGGGGGGGGAACCTCATCGACGTAGGTGCCTGTGGATCTGTAGGAGGCCATCTCTGCGTCCATGGCAGCTCTCCACTGAGAGGCCCAAGGCCCTGACACTGCCTCAGCGTAAGTGCGAGGAGTCGGAATGTCAAGGGCGTCGGGGTCACCCTCAGGGGCGAGGAGCATGGCACAGAGATGAGGGGAAGCGGCCGCCAGGAACTCTAGCTTAAACTGCCTGTCCTCTAGGGCGTCACAGCCAAGGGCAGACACACCCCCGACGGCCAGAGGACTGGTAGGAGGAGCAGCCACAAGCGTGGTGGCGTAGTCAAGGCGACGCGTAGAGGCAAAGTCAGTAACTGCGGCAGTAAGAGCAGACACAGAGGACACAGAGGCACGAGGGTGAGTAACAAGAGAGGCGAGAACACGAGAGAGAACAGGACGGTACGTGCGGTAGTAGTCAGTGACAGGAGCAGGGAGCGACACGGTGAGGGCCGACTCAGGAGGAGACGGAAGCACAGACTGAGACGGACGAGGTGGACTGGAACAAAGTAAGGCAGTACGAAGGTCAGTGAAGGGAACAGGAGACGAGGGACGAGCACGAGGGGAGCAACGAGTAGCCCAAGAACGAGACGGAGGAGGAGAGGACAAAGGCGGAGAACTAGAGAAAACAGCGGGGGAGGAGTCAGGCGGAGGAAACGTGGGACCGTAGACAGGAGGAGAGGCGGAGGAGGGAGGAGAAGGGGAGGGGAGACCAAGGGCCCGAAGACCCGAGACAGGAGGAGGAAGTGGCTGCTGCTGCTGCTGCGACTGCTGCTGCTGCGGACGCGGCTGCTGCTGGGACTGCTGCTCCTGCGGGTCCAGCTGCTGCTGCTGCTCCGCCAGCCGCTGTAACTCCCTCTCCTCTCTCTCCAACTCCAGCTGCTCGTCACGCGCACGGCGAACACGAGCCTGGTGCCTAGTCGGGTAGGGGTGGGGGGGCGGAGTAGTGTCCGAAGCAGCGGCAGCTCCAGAGTCAACCCCCGAAGAACCAGGCGCACCACCCCCAGAGGCAGCACTAACACCAGCTCCAGACCCAGGCGCACCAGAACCCGAAGCAGGCGCACCCTCACCCCCAGAGGGAGCACCCCCAGAGTCCGCGCGGCCAGCACCGGCTCCCGGACGACAAGAGTCCTCTGCACCCACCGGGTCAGCTCCAACTCCAGAACCAGAAACTCCAGCTCCAACTCCAGCACCCCCAGAACCAGAAACTCCAGTGCCTACTCCAGCTCCACCTCCAGCTCCAACACCAGCTCCAACTCCAGCACCCCCAGAACCAGAAACCGGTACAGGAACAGGCGCCGCACCAACCTCTCGAGAGCTAGCACCAGCGGCACGCTGCGAGGAGGACTGTGGGGAGGGAGGCTGTACCGGAGGGGCTACCGAAGGAGGAGGGGTAGCCTGGGACACACCTGACGGGGCTGGGCCAGGGGGGGGAGGCTGTACCGGGGGAGCAGGAGGGGGAGCGGCAGTCAGGAAGAGGGGGGGAGGAGGAACCGGGAGACCTCGACTGGGGTACCTGACGTAGTACGGAGTGGACTCCTCGAAACGGACGTCACGGGAGTCAAAGAACCGGTGAGAGGGAGGGTGGTAAAAGTTGAAGTCAGAGGAATCCTCAGGGAAACCAAGGAAGACACAGGGGACGGCACGAGGCGAGAGCTTGTCCGCGGAGGTGTCGCGGACAAGAGCCAAGCACCCCCAGACACGAAACCGCGACGCAACACCAGGGGACCCTGTCCAAAGACTGGTCGGTGAAACCTCTGGTCGAGAGACACGTGGCCAGAGGTTCAGCTGGTGCGCGGCGTACCTGACCGCGTAGGGCCACAGAAAATGGGGGGCACAGGCGTGAGTCAGGGAGGTGCGGGCGATCTCCATGACCAGGCCTATGCGGCGCTCAGCAACCCCATTCTGCTGTGGGGACTCTGGAAGCGTCCAGGACTGACGAATGCCCTGCTCGCGACAGAATCCAGCGAGAATGCCGGAGCGAAACTCACCCCCACGGTCGGAGTGGAGACAGCTGACACGACGACCACGAGTGTCCTCGGTGGTGAGCAACCACCTAATCAGCGTAGAAGTCACCTCAGACTTCTTCGCCAGAGGGAACACTGTGGTGTAGCGGGAGAAGTCGTCAACGACCACCAGAAAGTAACGCTCACGCTCAGGGCCTAGACGAGGGGCGGGGCCCCAGACGTCCAAGTGAAGCGTCTCAAAAGGCTCGGTGGCCGGACGAAGGGAGGAGGAGTGAGGGGTGGCGCGCAGCCTACCCTCGACGCAGGGACGACACGGCGGCGCAAGCGAAGGCGGCAGCGACGGCAAGACACGTGGGAGGCCTAGGACAAGACGCTGACTAGACATAGCGCGCAGACGAGGAAGGGACGGGTGCCCCATCCGGTGGTGCCATAGAACGGTGGGGTGGGCAAGCGACCGGCAGGAGCACGACGCAGCGACTGGAACAGACGTAGGAACCTGACACGACACAGACACCTGGGGGGACGAAGCAACCTGGTGAGACGCGGGGACCCGAACGGGGGGGGAACCGGGGGCAGTGGCAGTAGGTGGGGCTGCTGGTGCGGCCGCTGGTGCTGCTGCTGCTGCTGCTGCTGCTGCT